GGCTGCCAGCGGCTGTGCCTGCACCCTCTCAGCACCTGCTGTCTCCTGGGTTTCCAGGTGCATCAGGACTTCCGCCTCTGGCTCACCAGTCTACCCAGCGCCCACTTCCCTGTGTCCATCCTCCAGAATGGCTCAAAGATGACCATTGAGCCCCCCCGTGGGGTCAAGGCCAACCTACTCAAGTCCTACATTAGTTTCAGTGATGACTTCCTGAATTCTTGTCCGAAGGTAAGACCTAGGCCGTGCTTTGGCTGGCTGTCCCCAGCCTGTGCCTGCTCTCCGCCTGGATGTTGCTCCTCTCCAGGCGTAGATTCCTCTCCACTAAAGCTCTCCCGTGCAGGAGAAGGGCTGGTGGTGTCTCTCATGAGCTCATACCTACTCTGTGATGAGGTAATTAGAAGTCTCGCTTTGAGAAACAGAAGCAACAGGATTGCAGAGTCCTGGCCTACGACACTCAGAGCTGAGCAGGCCACAGCCTTCCCCTGACGGAGTTTTCCACCCCTCCAGGCCGCAGTTGGCACTGCCGGATGGGCACATCTCTGCCACGTCCTGGCGGGAACTGACCCCATCCAGGGATGCCTCCTCCCAAGCTGAGCACCTCTTCTCTCTCCTCCCCTGCCCACAGGTCGCAGAGTTTAAATCCCTCTTGCTGTCACTTTGCTTCTTCCATGGGAACATGCTGGAGAGGAGAAAGTTTGGGCCTTTGGGGTTCAACATCCCCTACGAGTTCACAGACGGAGACCTCCGCATCTGCGTCAGTCAGCTCCACATGTTCCTCAGCGAGTCCGCAGACGTCCCGTACAAGGTAAGTGCGGGAGCTGGCTGCTCCTGCGGCTGCTCCCGGGGGGGAACGGGCTCACGGTGCCCCCCCGCAGGTCAGAAAACTGTGGTGGGGTCCCTCGCAGGTTCTGAGGTACACAGCCGGGGAGATCAACTACGGCGGCCGCGTGACTGACGACTGGGACAGGCGCTGCATCGTCAGCCTCCTGGAGGATTTCTACAAGCCCGAGGTTTTAACGCCCGAGTTTGCCTATTCCGAATCGGGGATCTACAAGCAGATCAGTACCTCTTCTGACCTCAACGTGAGTACTCAGGTGACAAATCACAGCTCCTAAATCCAGGGGGATCGTCAGAGCGCAAAGGAGGTCTCAACTACGTATCAGGAAGAAGTTCTGCCCGGAGAGGGTGGTGAGGCACTGGGACAGGTTGCCCAGAGAAGCTGTGGATGCCCCATCCCTGGAAGTGTCCAAGGCCAGGCTGGATGAGGCTTGGAGCAACCTGGTCTAGTGGAAGGTGTCCCTGCCCATGGCAGGGGGGTTGGAACTGGATGGGCTTTAAGGTCCCTTCCGACCCAAACCATTCTGTGAGTCTATGACTCCCCCTGGAAACCTACTGCATTTCCAGTTCCCTGGGGGAATGTAACGTTGTAAGATCCTGGGGATCTTTGGTGGCTTTTGGGAAGCTGCCTATGTTTCAAGCAACAGGAGGAAAACCTTGTCCCGTGCGCAGGAGGGGGTAACTGTGATCTGCTGGGTTTAGCGTACCCGGCAAGCCTGGCTTAGCCATTTCTTCCAGGCCAGGCCCAGAGCGGCCCAAAGGGGCACCACAGCCTTGGCCACGTGCTCTTGGCCTCACAGCCCGCGCGGATTCCTCTCCAGGGCTACCTGCAGTACGTCAGGAGCCTGCCGCTGAACGACAGCCCGGAGCTCTTCGGGCTGCACGACAACGCCGACATCACCTTCGCTCAGCACGAGACCTCTGCGCTGCTGGGGGCCATCGCGCAGCTGCAACCCAAGACCCTGGCACTGGGCGGCCGCAGCAGGGAGGAGGTGGGTGCCTCGCTCCCGTCGGTGCTCCAGCAGCCGGCGAGTACAAATGCCAGCGCCAGGAGGTGCCGCCCTGCCTGCCGCGTGCCGGCAACGGCACTGCCATCCAGGCAGCGGC